ATGGCATTCTGAATTTCCCAGGCAATCCCTCTCTCCACCATGACAGGCCCAGCTAGCTCTCGTGAACCTGTATAACCTGTCTCTATCCCACTGTTCGGGTGGTAGGTCAGTTGTGTCCAACTCTCTGTGAGCCCATTTGGGGTTTTCGCGGCAAGGACGCTGGGTATGGTTTGACCTGAGCTCCTCCTCGCTCCTGGCCTGGCGCTCTATCCTCTGCACTCCCCGTACACCTTCATAACTGTCTGAATTCCCTTGTCTCTATCCCGCTGGTCAGTGCTACATTGGTTGGTTCATTTTAAGTCCTTGTTTGTACGTACGAGCCTTTCCACCTTTGGAAGGTGGACTCTTTCAAACAAGCTCGCAACCTTTAAAGTCACAATCAGTAATCATCTTTACACAGCAGTTAATTTGGAGTCTGAAGTCAGGAAGACTCATCTTGTGGAGTTCAAATCTGCCCTCTGACACTTACTATGTGACCCTGAGCAAGTCACTTAACCCTGTTTGCCTCAGTTTCCCAATCTATAAAATGAGCTGGAGAAGGAAATGGCAAACCACTCCAATGTCTTTGACAAGAAAACCCCAAATGGGGTCACGGAGAGTCAGACATGAGTGAAAAAGGACTCAACAATAATAAGAAATTTCTAAAAACCTCAAAGCAAGCTTTACCTTAGCTCCCAGCATGTCTTGGTTACTACCTTCTTTTATTCTAGGAGCAGCTGAGTGGTTCAGTGGTTAGAATTCTGGGCCTGGAGTCAGGAAGACCTGAGTTCACATCTGGCCTTTGACACTTACTAGCTATGTGATTGTATTTGCCTCCATTTCCCCATCTGTAAAATGGGGGTAATAATAGCCCCTACCTTCCAAACAAGATAATAATTGTCAAGTGCCTGGTACATACTGGGCACTTTATAAATATCACCTTTCCCCCATTATCTTAATTCTGTATGTATTTTATATCAAAGGCCAGGGCTAAGTAATGTTCCGTCCTCCCAATCTCCATAGACAAAGAAGTCCTAACCACCCCCATCATACTGACACTTGTACAAGAAAAGTGATCATAATAACTAGGGGTAAGGGGGGGAGATTGAAAGAGTCTGGAGTTCAGAGAGGACCTCTGATTTCACCTTCAAAGAGGAGACCAGGAAATAAAGCCCAGACTGAGAAGACTCATCCACACCCCAGGTATCTGGGCTCCAGGGTCTCTCTGTATCTTGACCTTGGACACTTGCTGAGCCTTCCCTTCCAACAGATGCAGTAGGCCTGCCATTGATGCCCCTGGGAGGACCTGAGGCTGGGAGTCAGAGTCTCACTGTGCCCCTGGACAGAGATGCTCTTCTCTGGCCTCTTTGAGTCCCATGTCCCCCAAGGAGCTGTCCACACAGGGCCAGAGCTCTGTAAAAAGGAAGAGACAAAGCATAGGCCATAATAGAAGAAAAGAGGAAGAGGAAGGAGGGGGAAAGAACTACTGGTGCCAGTAATAATTGGAGCCCCCCACACCCACCCCAGAACCACCACCCATCTCATCACAGAGCATCTAGGTGGAGCAGCAGATGGAGTCCTGGGCCTGGAGTCAAGAAGGCCTGAATTCAAATCCAGCCTCAGACTCTTACTAGTTGTGTGAGCCTGGCAAGTCTCTTAACTATTTAGCCTCAGTTTCCCCATCTGTAAAAGGACAGATTTTGTTTGTTTGTTTGTATTTGATGGCCTCTAAGCTCTAAAGCTATGATTCTATGCTTCAGTGATGCCAAAAAGAAGTAAACCATTATTACAGTGTTTTGTAACACGCACAAGAGAAAGCATTTTGCCTAACCTGAAATACCTAGGAGCCAAGGAAAGGGGCAAGCAAGGCTAACCAAAGGCAGGAACAGGCAGGATACGTATGCCCGAGGGAGCGGGGCCAGGATCCTGGGGTTGCTGCGGTCCATGGTCCTCGAGTCCTCCAAGCTTCCTGCAAGGTCTGGCGCACTTGGGTGGCTCAGTGACGTGGGAGGAGGGGAGTGTATAGGGTACCGAGGGTTCTCAGGAGACGGTGTCTGATTGTTTTCCCATCTCTGATGTCATAAGAAGAAAGATGCTGGGGATTGGCTACTGAGCACCTCATTCTATAAGTGGAGAGCTAGAAAAATCTGTCATGGAAGGTTCTAGAAAAGAGCCGGGGGCATCGTTCTGTGGGTGTTGAGAAGAAGTGACCTGTAGCAGCCAGGCCTCATGAATGGGCCACCCTAATCAGAGGTGACGACTTCAAGGCAGCTATATGCAGAGAAGAGTGAATCAGCAAACATTTATTAGGCACTTACTATATGCCAAGTATTTCACCAGGCAAGACAACAGTGAAACAGCCCCTGTCCTCAAGAAGCTTGCATTCTACTGAGAGACAACACGTTCCTATATAAGTGTCTCTAAAATAATATTTTTGGGCGACCAGATATATGATTTCATTGGTATTGGGCAGAAGTGTCAAGCGCCAGGCCAGGCTGCATGCAGCTTACAACACTCTCAAATGCAGCCAGAAGTATTAAAACATAATTAGGGGGCAGTGGACAGAGCACTGGCCCTGGAGTCAGGAAGACCTGAGTTCAAATGCGGCCTCAGACACATAATACTAGCTGTGTGACCCTGGGCAAGTCACTTAACCCCAGACAAAAACAAACAAACAAACAAACAAAAACATGATTAGGAAATAGTTAACAAAGGAAATATAATAGAACAAATAATATTAATATGCAGTTTTGTAGGGGGAGGAGGAGGGGGCATCTGGAAAGGTTTCATGTAGAAGGTGGCCCTCGAGCTGAGCTTTGAAGAGAAGAGGGATTTTAAGGGGTGAAGCTGAGGAGGGACGGCATGCTTGGTATGAGAAGTAGCCAGAGCAAAAGCCTGGAGAGGAGAGATAGAGTGGTATGTGAGAAACAGCAATAATGCCAGAGTTTTTTCCTCATTGTGCCTGACTGTCTCCAATTAGAATCTTGGAGTCTGAGTTGGATGAGACTTTAGAAAATCACTTGTGTAGCCTTACCCCATGTAAGGAGCCCTCTTAAACATTCATGTCAAGAGGTCATCTGGCCTGGTGGGCCTCCCAGTTAGGTTTCATGATACCTACCTCTGTACTGTATCTCCCCAGGAAAATAAAAGTTCCTCAAGGGCAGGTTGGGGCCACACTGTAAAAGGTTTTAAATGACAGACAGAGAGGTGGGTGTTTGATTCTAGAGGCAATAGGGAGCCACTGCAGTTTGTAGAATAGAAGAGTGACCTGTACTTCAGGAAAATCACTTAAGCAGTTGAGTAGGGGATGGATTGGGGAGGGGAAGAACTGGAGGCAGGAAGAGCCATTAGGAGAAGAAATGCAACACAAAAGTCCTTGAAGGTAGAGGTGGCCTCCCAGCCTAACACAGGTACACAGAAGGAGCTAAATCAGTGCTTGTTGAATGAAGTATGGAGCCTTAAATCCATCCAGTTGCATGATTGTAGAGAGTTGGAAGTCAGCAACAGACCCTTGGGGTAGAGACTGAAAGAGGCCTGGATATCAGGTAGTCTGATGTCATTTTATCAGGGAGCCCCAGACAAATAGATGGACGTGTTCTATGCGACATTTCGAGGTAGCGCCAGACCAGAGCTAAGGCCAAAGCCCAGATCCCCCTGCCACCATTCTGTATTCTTCCAACTACATCGTGCTGCATCCTCAGATATTTAAAAAATAATAATTAATAATAATCAGCGGCTCTTTTGTGGGGATACTACTACTACTACTACTACTACTTATAATAATAATAACGACACCACCTTCCTACCTTGCAGGGTTGTTGTGAGGATAAAATAAGATAAGATTTGTAAAGTGCTTTGCAAACCTTAAAATGCTATGTAAATGCCAGGTATTAGAGCCCTGGACTTTGAGTCAGGAAGACCTTCCTCAGATATCTGTTAGCTCGGTGACCCTGGACATGTCTCCCTGCTTGAGCTTCCTCATCTGTAACATGGAGATAACAATAGTACTTATCTCACAAGGCTATTGAGATTCAAATGAGTTAAGATGTGTAAAATTCTTTGTAAACCTTAAAGCACAATATTATTATTATTATTATTATTGTTAATTATCAGGCACAAACGGACTGTTGGGATAATTGCTGGTTAGTATTGGGGTGATTAGGACGTTGCTTCCCAGTTAGATACGCAGGCGCCATGTTTCTTGCCGATGTTAAGAGCCACCCTCTTACTCAGGAACTCCGATGGTCCCCTGGTCCCACCAGGATGATCTATAAATTCCCCTGCTTTGTATTTGCCCACCACATCCTACCTCTCCAGACATCTCATTTATTATCCCCTTCCACGGGCTCTGGGCTCCAGTCATACTGCAGCTCTTGCTGTTCTTCCCCCACTATGGTCCATCTGCCTCTTCCTGGTTATCCCCAGGCCTGGAATGCTCTCCCTCCACATCTCCACCCCCTTAGGTTCCATGCCTGCCTTCCCGACTTAGCTCCAGCCCCACCTTCTACAGGGCCAGGTCCAGTCCTCCCTGGTACAAGCACATTCCCTTCCCAGGATACCTCCCATCTCCTCTCTATCTCTACATTCCTGGTTCTTTACATGTTATCTCTCCTATTAGAACGGCCGCTCCTCGAGGGCAGGGCCTGTTTTTGTTTGTTCTTTGTATCTCCAGGCCTTGGCACAGCGCCTGCAACATAGCAAGCTCCTAAAAGATGCTTCATATGCATGGATCCCTGCAGTGCCTTATGTTTCTTTGCATCTGCTCCCCCCAATTCATAATCTTCATAGGAGTTTCTGATCCTCCCATCCCCCAAATTTCTTACAGAAGTACCATCTTCTTCCCCCCAGCCCAAAGCAAAAGCACATTTTGTAGAGTGGTAAGACTTTGAATGGATATCACTGGTTGTTTGGAGCCTGTTAAGGCCTGTTAGTCTAAAATCAAGAGTATCTCATGATACTTCTTTCCTGCCTGATTGGCCTTCCCAGGGCCAACCTCTCTAACATGCTCATCTTCTCTCTAGGTAACGTGATGAAACTGGAGGAACAGAAGTTGGACCTGGAGCGGCAGCTGAAGGCTCTGACAAAGCAGATAAAGGTCAGGAGGATTGCAAGCACAGACCATGTATCCCTCATCTGCCTCGTAGAACTTGGGCTAGGCCCTGGGAAATATGAATTAGGGTGACACTGAGTTACCCTGAGTGTTAGATTCAAGAATATTTTTAAGTTGCTTCACTCCTCTCTTTAGCTTTCCCATTCTCCTAATAGAGACGGTAGTGGATAACATAACCAGGAGGGCCTGGGTTCAAGTCCTGCCTCTGACACTTACTACCTGTGTGACTCTGGGCAAGTCATTTAACTTTCCATGCTCCCAGGTAACTCAGCCTTTTTTTTTGCATGTCTTGGATCCCTTGGGCAGATACTCTGGTGAAGCCTGTGGACTTTGGTGCACAAAATAAAATGCATAAGACATAAAGGAAGCCAGTTATATTGAAATACAGTTATCAGGTCTTTTTGTAAAAACTCATCGACCCCAAATCAAGGACCCTTGCTCTGAGACTATAAAATGCCAAAAAGTTGTAGACCTCCACTGGCAGATAGCGTTTGCTGATCACTGGATTCCCTGTATCCGTGACCTATCACAGGTCCTCTCCCTATCCTTATCCCTTTCTCCGATGATATCACCTTCTGAGCCTCAGGAAGTCCAGATTGGTGCCTGAGTGGGGCTGAGTGACTGGTGACCCATTTCGTCTTTCGGATATCTCCATGTTTCTTTGTGAATGGACAGGACATGGTTGTCTATACATTTGTTGTTGTTCAGTCATGTCCAACTCTTTGTGACCCTGTTGTCCATGGCAAAGATGATGGAGTGGTTTGCCATTTCCTTCTCCAGTGGATTCAGGCAAACAGAGGTTAAGTGACTTGCCCAGGGTCACATAGCTAGTAATGTCTGAGGCCGGATTTGAACACAGGGCTTCTTGAGGCCAGGCCCAGCACGCTAGCTATATCCATATTAACCTGATGAATAATTAAGAAAATTAAGATATTTAAGAATCCAGGGGGAAGGGGCATGGAGAGGGGAACACTACGAAGAGCTATTAAATCAGAGGAAGACAAATTACACGCTGTAGAAGATACAAAAAGATGCTTACTTTGGGGAAAGGTATTAGCAATTCAGCTTTGCAGGTTTTAAAGTTAAATGCAGAGAGCCTACCTATGAGCCACATAGCAAGAGAAAAAAGAGAAAAGAGATACCGGGAAGAAGAAGAGCGCCCATGGTTGGGATCGCCAAGGAAGATGTAAAGATGCAGACTTATATGGGCTAAAACTGGATGGGGACTTAGCCATCCTTTGGTCCAGCTTCCTCCAAACCGAGTCCCAGCCAGGGAAAGTATCTTCCAGGACACTTTAATGGCAGAGGCTTTGGAGGAAGGACCCAAACTTCCTGAATGACTGCTGCATCTCCATGGCTGGAGATCCAGGTGACTCTGAGCCATCTACATGGAAATGACACACAGCCTTGGCTGCTTTCATCCCCTCCTCTCTAGCCCAACCACCACCTAGCCACCTCTGAAAGGAAGGGAATTCTGATACTATTATGAAAATAGAACTCTTCTCCGCTCCTGCTAGCAAAAACCCAGACACCGTCATTGTAACCAAAGGGCCCGTTTCAGTTCTGTGTCCCATCTTAGCGCGCCCTGCCATCTTCCCCTCCTGCCACCCCGCGTCCTCATCTGTAAAATGAGGTCACTGAGGTCCCTTCCAGCTGTCACTGCCTCTCGGGTCATCTCCCCCCACAGCCGAAACACAGGACTTTGCATGCAGTAGGCACTTAATAATAGATGAAACTGAACCTAACTAGAATTAGATTGTACAGCTTAAGCTGGAATTCCATGTGGAGCCTGTATGGAAACCTACCTATGTTGGGCTGGAAGCTGGGCTCCTACGAGCTTAGCTTAGTAATTTATGTATAAGAAGGGTTGCAGCAGAACAGTTCATTGAGAAGGCACCTATCATCGTAAGGTTAATGTAGGGAAGGGGTCAGGGAGCTCACTTCAGATTGTATGGCTAGGGTTTGTTGGGGGAAGGCTTTAATTTTTTTTTTCCAAAAAGAATGCATTTTGTTTAAGAGGGTGGGGGTGGAAGGACCTTATTTAAAATATTTTTTTTATTTCTATCTTTTTGTTTGTTTGTTTTTACATCCCCTGTATTGCCATATTCACCTCACTCTACTCGCCAACCTAGTGAGCTGTCTCTTGTAACAAAGAATAGAAAAAGAAAAAGGCAAAGAATGCAGTTCATTAAAACTGACAAACATTTCAAACCAAGACCTACTGCACATGCCATGCTCTCCACCCATAGTCCCCCACCTCTGCAAAAAAAAAAAAGCAAAATCTTGAGATGCATTTTCTCATCTCTTCTGCTTGGCCAAGAGTGGACATTGAAATTACATAACAAAGAAGGCATTTTTAAGAAGTGGAAGCCAATGCCATGATAAGAGCTCTGTCTACTTGAGTTAGTCTTTGGGAACGTGTTTAATTCCTTCCTGAAAGGCGATCTGTTGTATGGGCATTTAATTTGTATAAAAGTTCCAGGGGGCTCTTTAAAAAAAAGAAAGACTCATTTGCCTCCTTAAAAAGCAGCCCCAGAATATTGTCCAAGTAACTCTCAGGAAGAAAAGAGGCTTCATTTCCTCTCTCTGTCCCTAAGTATAAGCACTGACTTTTATAGTACTAGGCAGGTCACAGGATTGTAAGATCGTAGGCTGATCATGGGAAGGAGGCCTCCAAGGCCATCTAGACTAACCCCCCTCATGTCATAAATGGGGAAACTGAGGCCCTGAGGTTAAGTGACTTGCCTAAGGTCACACAAGTCATAAGATCATAGGTTAGGAGTTGGAAGGGACCTGCAAGGCCTTCTAAGATGAACCCCTTTATGTTACAAACAGGGAAACTGAGATCCTGAGGATTAAGCATTAAGTTCCTGAGCTCATACAGGTAACAAATGATCAGAGATGGGATTTGAATCTAGGGCCTCCAACATCCAGTCCAGGATGTATAATTTCCATGCCAAAGTCAGGATTTTAACCCAGAGACCGGGGCTCTAAATCCATTGTTCTTTTCTGCTCCTGTGCCAACGTGCCATCTTTCTCTGTTACTGGGAGGCTGGTAGTACAAACAGTACTCACTGCCTCTGGAGCCCAAGCATTCTCACTACCTGGGTGACCACTGCCTCAGTTTCCTCATCTATAAAATGAAGAGAGTGGTCCAGGTGACCTCTGAGGTCTCTTCCAGCTCTAAAACTACGATGCTATAACTTAGGTGAAGCCACTTAGCATCGGAGCCTGTTTCCTCCAACTGTCCAGTAAGGTGGGGAATGGCCTCCGAGGGCCCCTCTGGTTCTTGGTCTGGGATCCCATGCTCATACAGGATACAGGACAGGCAGGTGTGGCTTTCACACCGAGCAGGCGCCTGACGCTCCATCTCTCTCCTCTGCCGCCCGCAGGAGGAGACGGAGGAATGGAGGCGTTTCCAAGCCGACCTCCAGACGGCAGTGGTGGTGGCCAACGATATCAAGTGCGAGGCCCAACAGGAGCTTCGGACTGTCAAGCGGAAGTTGCTGGAGGAGGAGGAGAAGAACGCCAAGCTCCAGAAGGAGCTGGGGGCCGTGCAGGGGAACAGCAGGTTGGTCCGTGCCCAGGGCTCTGACTCCGTGCGCACTAACATGCATGCAGACAAGGCTCCATGGCCAGCCTCACAGACGCGCATGTGGCTTGGGAGGTTGTGCATTTCTCTCTCTTGGAGATATTCTGTCTCTTTGTGGGGATCCCTCCGCCAGCCCCCAGGGACTAGATCAGGAGCGTTCTGGCTATTACTTGCTAGTGCCCTCGGGGGATCTAGCCTAGGATGCTCACTATGAAGGAGGGTAGACCGTCGTCCTCATGACATTCCCTCCATCTTGGTATTCCCCATGGCTCTAGGGAGAGTAGCACTACCATGTTCTGGCTTGGCCCTAGCAGGGGGATGTGTGATGGTCCTCGGGCAGGGCAGTTGTCTGATGGAAGGGTTGGTCCTTCCTCCCTTACGGTCACACCCATTTTCTAGTGCTACCCAAATGAATCAGTATGAGACCTCTTAAAATGGCCTATTCCATTAAAAAACGAAAAGGGAGGCTACGGAAGAAATTCATTGTTTATAGTCGATAAACAGCTAGCCTTAGAGCCAGAACGACCTGGGTTCAAGTCCCACCTTTGGCTGTGTGACCCTGGACAAATCATTTAATCCATAAGTGCTCTGGGCAGCTCGAAAGGACTAAATTTCAGAGAAGGTGCATTTAATCAGCATTAGAAGAGAGAGCTCCTCATGGGGAGACTGCTCCAGTGAAGAAATCAACATTATTTATAAACCAAAGAAATTATGACTTGGGGAGTGATCTTAGCCAGGGCTTGCTTGACATAGCTCCTCCCCCTCATGTCTTTGAGCAGGAGAGACTGAGCATACTCCACCCCGTAAAACTCTTCCACCTAAGAGGGAAAGAGAGGCAGCTGGAATGGTTCTGGAGGGGAGATGGACATTGATGACTGTGTTCAAAATAAAAGCTCTTTACTACATTATTTTGCACTCGCCATGGGACTAATAAAATCTCAGTTTTCCTTTTCATGGTCAGGAATAAATGGTTTTACTTTGGGGTCCTTGATTTCAGGAAATTATTTGAGTGATTCTCTTTCTAGGTTCAGATGTGTGGCAATCATTTGACCCGGGAAACAGGCTGCAAAATTAGACCTCTTCCTGTCGTTGGTAGATTGCAAAGGGGAGGGAGGGGGAATTACTGGGGAACTAATTTAGGAGGCACTAGAGAACAAAGACTCTGGAGAGACTCTGGAGTCAGACAAATGGACCTCCATTTCCATATCTGCCAATTGGGAGGATTTGGTTTAGATGCCAAGGTCCCTTGTGGCCCTAAATCTATGACCTTAGAATCTCAAATTCCCATTTTCATGACTTTTAGAGACTTCAGAGAATGGAATAACAGCCCTCCGAGGTCTGTTGGGGGCCTAAGTTAATTAGCCCCCATATTGTCCTTGTTTTCCAACTCCAGTATTGAGTATTATCAATTTCTAGAGAAGGGTTAAGGGTGAGATGGAGGAACGAAAAGCAGGAGACCGGCCCCACAATTTAAGAAGTACCTGTTATATGTCATACGCCACCACAGGCCCAGGGAATACAACAATGTAAACCAAGCTGCCCCCGTCCTCAAGGGTCTTCCCCTCTGTTGGAACAGACACATAAGGTCCCCTCAGAAGCAGCCTCATGACATCAGAGCCACTCCTTAGCCCATGGCCTCCATCCCCACTGAGGGAAATCCTAGGGGAGGCCAAGCCAGGCTGCATCCCCTGACGGGCGAGGTGTGCTGGTAATTATGGGGCCTATCTCCGTTGGCTTTTACGTGTTTGCCTCTCTGTTTATTTGTCTGTCTGTCTGTCTTGCTTCCCTTCTCTGTTTTTTAAATAGAGCCCAAAAGCCTAACTTCCAGTGCTGCACTTAGTCACTGAACAAGCAATTACGAGTCACCTGCTATGTGCACAGTGCTGGAGAGACAAGGACAAAGACGAAACGTGCTCTGCCCGCAAGGGGCTTACACTCTTCTCAGGGAGATGATGTTTTGATGTATACATGCATATGCACATGAGTGTATATGTACACACATATGCATACATGTACACAGTGCACATATACATACATATTTAATCTATATGCACATATATACATACATATATGTGCATATACACACATGAATATATGTGTATATGCATAATAAATGCGAGATAATTTTGAGGGGGAAGGTATTAGCAGGTGGAGGAAATGATCACAGATTAGTCTTGAAGACAGAGAAGGCCCAGAAGGTCATTGAGAAAGAGCTTCATTTGTATCACAACCTAGAGGAAACAGGCTGGAATCTATGAATAGAGCCTTGGAATTATAGCAGAGTGTCAATCCCTAAATGCAGGCGTACACTTTAGGACACCCTCAACCTTCAGACTCACGGTCACTGTTTAAGACACGATGCTTTCTCTTCAGCCCTCCCAAGGCTGTCTAATTCCCACATCATGAAAGTTCCCCTCCCCCCAGCCCTTGTTTCAGGGCTAGGCCCCCCTCCTCAAATGTGACATGCTACTGAACTCGGGTGGAGCCTCCCCGCGTCCCCTTGCGTCTTGTTGCGTTGATCGGCCCTGCCTTTGGTAGATCATCAGACAGTGCCTCTCAGGGATGGTTTCCTGTCTGATGGCAAGTTCCCTTGGCAAAATGCCCTTCTCCCGAGAGGCGGCTGCTCCGTGGAGGCTGACGATGGCTCGGCCACTTCCTGAACACACCTCTGGAGCAAGAAGCAAAGCCCAGCACAGTCCCAGGGGCCCTGCTGCAGCTACTTTAGCATTTCCCCTCTGGCTAAATGAATTCTTGGCTGGAACCCTGAATTGTAGCCTTTGTCCAGTGAGGCATGGATGAATCATTCTTGGTTCAGGCACAGCCAGAAAACTCGCAGAAAATATCCCGGTGAATTCTTCCAAGCCCCGCCTCTGAAAGAAAGGTAAGAGCCTCCAGGAAGGCGCCCTCAGACAAAAAGCACCGACCGGCTCTCACTTTCCGATTTTGCAAAGGGGACCTCTTGGGGAGTGTAGTGATGACAAGCAAAGCAGAGATGTGGCTGAAATCTCAGGGTCTGGGTAAAAAAGAGCATTTGTTACTGACATAGTTTAGCCTGCTAAACCTCTTGGTACCTCAGAGAGAGGTAAGAGGGCAAAGCAGTAACTCGGGTAGGGGTAACTGGGACTTTACCCAAAGGCGCTGAATTTCAAGGGTGCTTTCAGGCTTTTAGCAAAGTAAAAGCAACAGAGGTTGGTAGCTATTTGACAAAAATAAATAATTATGATTGAGACAAGAAATTGAAATGATGTACCTAGCTCCTCATATCTCAGAGCCAGGAAGGTCCCACGTCAAGATGTGCCTCTAACCCATGCTGCTGGTGGGACTCTGGGTGACTTACTTAAGATCTCAGTGCCCCCAGGGAAATTTCTGAGAAGGTGGTGAGCTGCATCAGTAGATGTTTCCTCTGCCAGTGAAATCCCAGGTGTAGCCCCTAACTCTTCAGTATGATAGGTAGGAAGCTACCAGGTGGTAGGCTGAGGAAGCTCCTCCACCCTGACCTTTTCTCTCCTAAGCATCCCAGTGGGCCAAGGTCTCCCCCCACTCCCCCTTAATTGAACCCATGGTCCACACATTGACCTCACCTTCACTCCTAGTAATGGTTCTTTAATTCTGAGCCTCCATTTGACCAAACCACTTTCTCTAACATGGTTTTCTGTAGAGATGGTTTCTGGCCATGAAGGCCAGGAGCCATTGACACTGCTGGCTTCACCCACCCCACCGCCCCTACCCCTATTTGGATAACCCTCTTAATGTTCCTTTGCCTGGCCTTGATCCATCAGGAAATCAGGCCAGCCCACCTTGCCCACCATCAGAACCCCCATGAGAATCATCTAGAAGCAGGTATCTCTGAGCAGATGGGGAAGCAGGGATTAAGTTCTTGAACTTTTTATCACAGTTCATCCTAATTTAAGGCTGCAAGAAGAAATGCGTAGAAAGGAGAAACAAACAGACCTTCCTTTACTCATTTAAATACTGACTGAGCTTTCTGGCCTGGCTGATCTTTATATGGGCACTGTGAAAGCAGGGGCTCTTAACCCTGTTTATGTATCATTGGCCTGTCTGGCAGGCAGTGTGATGAAGCTATAGACTCCTTCTCAGAATCACGTTTTCCTAAGTGCATCAAATAAAACCCATGGAAACCCATTATACGGAAATATCAAAATACTTTTTAAAAACCAAGTTCATGGCCCCCAGACTAAGAACCTTGCCCCAAATTCTGATAAGCCACCAAAGAGGTTTTTTTTTTCTTTTTAAGCATGAGCTAACACATGTTAGGGAAGCGAACATGGCTCACGTGGTGCACAGGAAGACTCATGAGGTTAAAGCCAGCCTCAGACACTTACTAGCTGTGTGACCCTGAGCAAGTCACTGAACCCTGTTTGCCTCAGTTTCCTCATCTGTAAAATGAGCTGAGAAGGAAATGGCAAACCACTCCAGTATCTCTGCCAAGAAAACCCCAGATTGTGTCTCAAAGAGTCAAGACATGACTGAAAAACGACTAAACAACACCACAGGGACCCATTCCAGAAGCATTTAAGATGTGTTTCTCTCGTTCCCAGTAACCAAGCATCATTTCTTTCTAGGTTCATACATGTGCAGCTTTATCAAATGGTGTCAGATCATATCCAAGGGATGTCAGGGCAGATAATTATGTTAAAGGAATATGCATTTTCCCCAGCACTATTGAGTGAATTTTTAAAAAAAAAAACTTGTTTACCAAGATTTTATTTATTTTTACTGCCTGTGGTTTATTTTTTAAAAGTTTTTGTGGATGCCTTTTGTTTTTATATCAGAGTTACTTCCAAATAGGCCTCTCTTCTCCTTCCCAACCCCGTCATCCTTCCCTTGTAACAATGGGAAGAATAAAAGTTACGCAGAATCAACCAACATATGAATCACAGTCCTGACACTTGAGTGATTCTATCACGTTTTTTAGAAAAAGACGAAATTCACAGCGAGAAGCTTGGCCCACCCCATGG